AATAAATTACAATAACAAAAAACAAAAATTACCTTCAATTTTAAAGTTTTACACTAATTTTTAAAACTAAATCTAACGAACTTGTGTTAAGCTAAGAAGATCAATTTTTCCGTAGACTAAAAATATTGGAGCAAAAATTAGAAGATTATTAATATATTCGTGTACAATATGTGTAGAACATGAGCTTATAATAAAGCGGACAAAGGCCATATATCTTTCACTTTTTAAGATTTGTATAACTTTTCAAAATGTATGAACACACCAGGCGCACTGCATACCATTCTTTATAAAGGATTTTGAGTGTTTTAATAACGACAATTTATTCTGGTAGATTCATCGGGTTTTATATTTTTCAAATAATTTTTTATACAAAAGAAACTGTCTTCCATTTGCCAATCGCTCCCAATTTTTCCGAGAGTGGTCAAGAATATTTTATATCTTCCGATTTCGATTCTTTTAAACTTTAATCACAAACTTTAATTTACATAATGAAAATATATAGTTTTTTGCTTTAAAATAGAAAAGTTTGTGGTAAATATTTATGCATAAACAATTGAATGTAAATAATTCCATAAAAGAGAGTACATTGAATTTCTGAATTATATTAAAATTTGGTTTCCGAAAATAATACACGTTTAAATTAAAAATGTTGTTTTTAAGAGTAATTGACTTTATGAAAAAACAATTTCTGACTAATTTATAAACGGATGAATAAATGTAAGTAAATCCCATATTTTTCCATGTATAGTAAAAATTTCAAATATACTTATTTCTTTTGTGTCAGAAATCACATGTTTTAATTTATAATGACATTACATATTCGATACTACGTATAATAATTATTCGCTCATAAATGTACGTGCAAAATTTCATATAAGTTAATACAATTTTTGTATATATAGTATATACACTTATAATGTGTATATAACTAACAGACTGATATGTATGAAGTAGATAATAGAAGCACACATTTATTAATGATTATAACTTTACTAACTGTAGCGCCTATTTTTACTAACCGTATTAAATACAAGAAGGAAGGTGATGTGATGGCATCAAATTTCGAATGAAAGAACGTTTCTTGTGGGAACGCATTTCTTCATAATAAAGAAACGTAAATAAACTATTTTTAAAAGATGTCAGCCTGTCTGTCTTTCGGCTTGTACGTGGACGAGTTTTTGGCTGAACCGACTTTAATGAAATTTTTTATGTGAGTCTATTTCGGCCATGACTTGGTTAATAAACTTTTGAACCTTTTTGAAGGCCGATTTTACATATTCTGGCCTTGAAATTTAATATTTGAGTTCTAGCACAAGAGAAACTCTATACTAAGAGCAAAATTTACATGTTTCAAGAAAATGTTAACTAAAAGCTTATTAGTGTGCTTAATATTGTAGAGAAGTGTATAAAGAACATTTTCATAATCTTCTGTAACATTTTCCCTAAACTAGACAATATACATTGCAGTCGAATATGTGCTGATCACATCAGGATTTTTAATATTGTAGTAGTTGATGATCTGATGTTTTACGTATAATGTAGAGAAAAACGTTCAAATATTATTTTTTCTGAAACAATAAAAGAAAAAATTAATTAAATATCATGTTTTTAATATCAGAAAACATGTGAGGGATTCTTTTGTTTAAAAAACCTTTAACAATAGTCACACATACATACTGTATATTCTTAGTAAGTATATATACTGTATATAATATTATGTGTGATTATACTTATGTCGTATGAAACTGATTTAAAATTTTGACATGGGATCATCAAAAATTGCAAATTTCTCTTTTAAAGACAAAATGCTTTTCGACATACAACCTATTTTTGATAATACAGTATTTTAACTGTTATGGGATGTGTTCATTTTCATGTAACATGGGAATTCCATTTTGGTTTTGAAAATGTGGTTTTATTTATTTATTTATATTTTATATACTTTCAAATATCTAATCATTCCGTTTTTCTTTTTAGTATGACATGAAGTTTTCAAAACCATTCATCAAAAAAACATTCATTTTTTACTTTATTTATTTTTAGTTTTTCATTTTAATTTTGATGACCTCGAATGGCAAGCATAATTTGTCTAATTTTTGCCTAAAGATGAAAATGAGTGATCAGTTTTTTTTTCTATTGTTAAATTAGCATTAATATTTAAAAAAAAAAAAATAAAAAAAAATGCAGAAAAGCAAAAATTAAAGTGTTGAAGAACTTTATGGTTGACTTGAGTGAAAAGTGATTTACTAACTACTTATTCAAATATGCTAATCATAGAAAGAAAAATATTTTTTGCTTTGATTTTGTTTTGAAGCTTAAATTACATGACCATGAAGGCTGTATTTTTTTAATGCCAATAATAATCTTTTTATTTTTCTTTTCTCTTATTAGAAATATCAAATATCATTGAATTTTATACATGTACGTCATAGTATAAGCTAAGCATTTAAAATAGCAATTATACTAATATACACAATTTACACATACAAAGGTACATAGAATTACAGAAAAATTCAGGTAATAAACTAACCTACAAAAAAGATCAAAGAAAAATGATCTTTAAGCATCATAGATTCGTCATCAAAACAAGGGAATAAATGCTAACAAAACAATTTTTTTTTTTCATTATATAAAAATTACCTTTGAAAAAGGTGAAAACCTGAAATAAAAAAAAAATAAAAAAAAATAAAACAAAATGTTTGTTATTAAAGTTTAATGACTAAGATTCGTTATTGTGATTGCATGTTACAATGAATATTCGAAATACAACCAAAGTGTTGTGTAATATACAATTTGTGCGCTCAACACGCACAGTATTTAGATTAGCTAATTATTTAATTATTTAGGTGAGTTTTATATTCCGAAATGTGAATGAAGTTGAAAGGTTAAATGATTTTATGTGGAAGAAAAGGCGATGTTGAATTCTGATGAAATATTTCTTGTGAAAATAAAAAAGGTGAACAGCTTTGTATTCTCTTTGGCTGTTTTTATTATATTAATTTTTGTTATTAAAGAATATACTCGTAAATTTCAAACGAAAAAATTTTATTTGTTATATAAGATGCTTTTAATTATATTAATTTAAAGTTGATTTTGGGTAAAAGTACAAAACTAATTGGTTATACACGTAAATAATTTGTTTATTTTTTTATGATTTGGTGTTCTTTAATAAGTATTTTAAACTAGGTCAAAAGTTAAAATTTTATCTGGTATTTGATATTAAATCTTAAAAATATTAATAACTCAAAATTACTAATGTTCATAGTACACAAATTAGCATTTGAGTAAGAATTTTTATAACAAAAACAACAAAATTTAAGATACAAAAAATTGTAGCTCTAAAGATTAGCACCTTATCTATTAGTAAGTAACTTATTTAACTCTACTCTAAAGAAGACAAAAAAAGAGAAAAACTGTTTTATAATCGTATTTTGTATAGGAACGTTTAATTTGAGTAATTAATTTTTCTCTCGTTTTTCCGAACAATGTAAATACGTTGACATTATATACTTATTTATACACTGTTCTTTCCTCTCTATCCGCAATAGTAATAAAAGAAAAAAATATGAAAAATGCGGTAATTTCAACTAAGCCCAAGTTGTATGGTGCGACAAATTACGACAGAATTAAGGAATCGGCTATTACAATTTATATATGAAATCTCGAATGAATTGTTGCAAAAAATTGTTATTTGTAACATGAAAATTGTTGCAACAGTATTTTTGACTTAATTTAAAGAAAAACATCCAAAAGTTTTCCTGAAAACTGTGGCTTTGGGCGTAGATTTTCAATGATTTTTTAGATTTTTATAGTAATTATGACTTTTGATTAGCAAACTTTTTGTTTGCTGCAACTTAAAAAACTGCAGATGTTAAGAATAAAAAAGCATTATTTTTTAATTGACTAATACATCTGACAAGAATTAAAATACAGCTTTTTAAAAATTTAATCGTTCAAAATCATTGAATTGGTACAATTTTCAAGTATTTGTTGAGGATTTTGGTAAAAAATAATGCTCTTTAATTACTTTCGTAATTTTACATCAACACAACAAAACTATGCGTAATTCTTTTCAATAACACTTTTGATGATTAGTTTTTACAAAATAAAAAAAAATATTACAGGTACCGATATCCGTAAAATACTCAAACTTAAATTTTTGGTCGCGATCAAATCGTCAGTTATTTAAGGCCTGGAAATAACTAGTTAATAGAAATGGACGGAAATATTTGGCGACTATTCAGTATTACAAAGAGTTTTATATTGAGAACATGCATAGATTTTATTATTAATATTATATTTTGTTGTTTCAATTGTAAAAAGGTAAATTTATTGTTATTTAGTATTTTCGAAGACGGAAAAGGTGATTGAAATTATTACCAATTCATAATTTAATATTGTTTAAAAGTAAAATTTTTAATAAACTCATAATTGCATTTGTTTTTGTAAGTTTTTATAAGATACTGGTAGCAGGAGAAATTATAATTAAGTGGATATTTTTTTAAGATATTGTAGCTAATTACATCATAATTAGTAATTACAATTACATTGTTTCTATATTATTGAAACAATTCATATTTAAAAGTTAATCCTTGAAAGTTAATTAAGAGATCCGGATAATTTTTTATTAAGTATAACAAGAGTTTATAATTATTGTAATGATAAGTCGGTCTCATATACGTTTTCCATTTTGAAAATTAATTTTTAACACTAATATGTGATTATTGTAGCAAATTTTATTTATTATAGTGTGAAATTTCTTTACAGGTATTGAAATTTTTAGGAAATTAGTTCTGCTTAGTCAATAATATTAAATAAAATTTAATATGGCTCGTAATTTTATTAAGAGTATAAATTCGCTCTTGTTGTAAATAAATTATATTGTTTAGGAGGCGGAAACTAGTATTGGTTAGATTAGGATTTTTTTTAAATTTTACATTGTTTGTAAGTACAACATTCATATTAATAATCAAATATTTTTTTTTCTTTATTTATTTTAGTTTGTTTCCGAGGAAGAAATATTAAAACTCAAAGAAACTGCTGTACAATCGGATCAAAATAATTTTCAGAAATTCAAAAGTCAATCAACTGATAATTTACATAATATACCTGATGCTCAAGATAAAAAATCAATACGTGAAAGATTCCGAAATAAATGTAAGTTTTTTTTATTAAATTTTTTTTTGCTGTATGCAAAAGCAGTTAAAAAAGAAATGTGCATTGTTATTTCGTTAAAACAAAAAAAGAAAATTTTTGTTTTGAAAAAAAAATCTTCTGTTTTACAATTTCTTTTAAGAAAAGAGAAAGTTTTTGCGAATAATGTTTAGTAATTTAATTATTGCATATATTAAATAATAATTATAAAAAAATTAAATTAAGTATATTTGTAAATAATGCACAGTAATCAGTAACAGCAGCAAATTATGACTTTACATAATGATTTTTTGAAATTTCATTTTATAACTGTAAGGTGCCGTTTACATATATGACAAAATATAAGATCAAATTTACGACGCTGTCTTACAATAGTAAAATTATTTGACAAAACTTAGACTTAACATCAAAACTTGTTTTTAAGAAATTTTTTTTGTTTTCATATCGAATATTTATATGTATGTCAAAGTGTGAGTTATTTCTTTACAAAATCACTTTATTATTTCCAATTTGCTGTCGTGCTCATAAAAAAATTAAATTATAGTCATCTTGATCTTAGAAAATTTAAGAGCAAATTTGATGAGAGTAGAGTAATTTCTATTATTTGTTGTTAGATTAAATCTGTTGCTAAACAATAATTACATATAAAACTTTCATCAAACTCAGGTTAGATTTTAAATTTTGTGTCATAGAAGAACCGTAACAGCACCTTATAGGAGTATGAGATTTTGAAACTTGCAATTAACTTAAACGCAATGAACGATTTCAGTGCTGCCAATAGCAAATTTCTAAAATTCATATTTTATTATTTACATAGTAGCCGTATTATTGTTTCTAATTAACCATTTCTTTGTTTTTTTTTCTTTTTAGTGCAAAGAGGAGTTCTAAAATTGTAAGTGTTTATGAATTTTATTTTAGTAAAATTGTAAATTTAAAGCCATCAAATCTAACTTATTCATATAGCATTATTAATTTAAATTGGATATTATTTTGAAAATTTCATTTATTAAGTTTAAAATAATTGTAAGCGCTTCAGCGCAAGTGTGCGCATGTTTGTGTCCTTTCATATAAATTGTATATATAGGTAAAATTACATCGAAGCCTGACAGTTTTCGATAAGAAAAAATTTTGTATTTTAAAACATCCAATTTTTAAAAACGAATCAAAGTTTTGTCACCCTCCATTTGAATTTTAGTTATTTAATTCAAATCTATTACAATCCAATATAGCCTTTATAGGCTCCAAATAAAATTGAGGTTTCACTTACGACAAAAAAAATTTTTTGAATAAAAATTAAAAATTTCGTAATTGATTTAAAAATTTTATTTTTAAAGCTAAAATTAACTATTATTTCTTTTCTTAAATGTAGCTTGTTGTTCCAATTTTAAATGTAATTTTTTTCTTTTTTTTTTCTCTATAGAAATAGTCGTCAAGTCAAAGATAGTGGCAATAAAAAAGGAAAGGAAAGCTTTAAGCGTCTTAACGTGAATAGTGTTTGCTTTGAAGATCAACCAAAATATCCTATATTTGATGCCGAATTGCAAGAAGTTGAAATGAATGGTATATGTGAAAATGTACCACGTTTTGTAGTTGATTGTATTGAGATTATTGAACAAAAAGACTGTATACAAATTGATGGATTATATCGGGCATCTGGAAATAAAGTTGCTATTGATGATTTAAAAAAAAGATTAACTGAAAACTATATATTTGATTATAAAATGTTAATGAAAAATGAAGATATTCATACGATAACTGGTCTCTTAAAATTATTCTTTAGAGAATTAAAAACTCCATTAATACCAGAATCATATTATCGTAAATTACCCGATAATTTAGTTGACAATTCAAATTTACCATTAATTAAGGAAATATTGAATGAAATACCACAACCATCATTGGGAACCTTAAAATATTTATTAAAGCACTTAACAACGTAAGTTTAAAAGCAAAAATATTTTTGTCAAATTTAAATACAAATAACAAAATTAATTTTCAATTTATATTTTAGTGTGGCGCAATATAGTTCAGAAAATCGTATGCCTGCATCTAATTTAGCTATAGTTTGGGGCCCTTGTATATTATTATCCGAAAATACAGGACCATTCGATATTGGACGAATGAATACTTTAGCAAAGGTTTTAATTGAAAAATATGATTTTATATTTGGAGATGATGAACGACTAGTTAATTAAATTAAATAAATTTTATTTTTAAATTAACTATATTAAAAAATTTTTATATGAAAATTATCCAATTAATTATGATTTAATCTTAAAATTTTTTATCTTTGTAATCTTTATAGCATCACTTTACTCTTATTAATTCACAAAATAATTAGCTTAAGTTATATAATTCCCTAATATAATTAATTTAAATAATAATATGTACATAGTTTTAAGAGAGAATATACCAAAAATGAAAACTTTTTTTTTATTCTTTTTTGTAAAAATATAAAGGTAGCTAAAACACTCCGATAACATTATCTAAACGAACATTGTGATAAAAGTAAAATATTAGACATTTATGTATAGTGGAATAAATTATATTTATATAAGATTCAGGAGTTAATAGATATATACTTTTTAATAAGATTATGTATTATATTTTTAGTTGAAAAATTTAAATATCATAAGTTTTTATATCATTATTTAATTTTAAGTTTTTTTTTGAAAATAAATTAACCAATTTTAATAAAATTTCGAATTTCAAGTATAAATTGATGAAAATGAAATTAGCAATTCGGTGGTTTTTTGTAATTAGAACTTTACATATTAATTTAAACTCATTGCAGAATCAATTTCTTACGTTATGAAGTATATACACGGCTTTTTTAGACATAAAACTCATTTTAAAACTCACAAGTTATATATTTTGAATTTAGTTAAACAAAATTCAACCACATTCCAAAAAAAAAATTAAAGCTCTCAACTTTCTTACAAAGTAGTAAGATAATTTTCACATCTATCTACTTTCTCTAGATAAATTTTAAGTCAATAATACTTTAATATTATATTTAATTATATTGAAATTGCTTTTTAGAAACTTTTTGTTGTTCTTGAAGATTCTACAAATTTTCTTTAAATACGATTCCCTGTTTTTATCAAATTGAATCAAGTTTCAACCTTAACTTTAATATTTTGCAAAACATTCAAATCCTCCAATAGGTTCTCTTGCTGATGCAAAGTACTAAAAAATAGTTTTTATTAAGAGTAATTTTGTACCACAGGAGTTCGCGTTATTATAGAAGTTTGACTACATTACCTATTTAATACAACTTTAATGAATTTGCATTTAACCAAAAATTAAATTTTCAAGTGTCAAGTCAAATGACTAAATTATATGTTACCAATTAAAAATTATTAAAATTCTTTATTTAAAATTAGTCACCATATAGTCTTTCTTGTTGAAGAAATAACTAATTAATGTAAAATAGAATGACGTAATAAATAAGATAAGCAATAATTCAATTTCCAAGTTTTGCGCCATTTCCACCCACATAAACGACGCAAACGCTCACGTAAATTTAAAGATAGTAGTAAAAACCTTGTTTAGCATTAAAGTTGAACATTTGTGTTATACCAAAGATTTTACAAACATTAATAATAATGTCTTTGGTTATATACACTTCCATCATATGCATGTAATCAAAAAAGCCATCATTTTCCTTATTTTAATCATTACGTTAAAAGTATTTTAGATGTTATAAACAGTAGTTACTTTTAGTAGCACCCCTTTTTTTTAAAAGAAAAACATCATCTTTAGTTTAACCAAAGTTTAAAAACATCAAACTTTTAGATTTTTGACGTCAACAAATTAAATTTTCAATTTGATTGTAACGAGGTAAATTTGAAAACAATTCTTTCAAATATTGTCTATTTAGCTAAAAAAAAATGAAAAATTTAAATTCAACAAAGTTAACAAAAAGTAGATGTCAATATGAAACTTTCGATGTTTTAGATTTACAAAAATTAGTATAAACAATAAATTATTATCACAGCTTGCTAACTGCTAGAACTTTATTTTAATGTCATTTAAAGAGATACATGTTATGCACATTACATACCTCATCTTAAGAAATTGTAATAAATTGCCTGATTTTGCACGTAACCACATCACTTTATGCTCACACCAATTACATACATAAATTTTATTCGTAGTATATCAAATTCATATAAAACTTAATGTATGTATGTAATCTTTCTAAACATTACCTGAAAGGCCTGTTCTTGTTACAGTTCTTATTTAATCGGCTGATTTTTTTTTTAATTTTTTAATCTTAAAATTCGAAACCTCCATTAGTAAATTTGTTTGATTAAAAGAAAATTATTTTCTTACTTAAAAAAATCTTTTTTTGATTCAATAATTTCTTGATAATGTCAAAATTTGTATGGCGAAACTTTTAATATTTACAACTGGCAACTAATTTAAATAATTTTTGATGTAAAATGATGTCTAGTTTCCGAAAATATTTTTTTTCGATTTTTAAGTTTCACTCAAACCCTGCAAAATGCATATAAAAATGTTAAACCATATAGGTACCATTTTTTATACAAATTGGGAAAAATAAAAAAACTATCAAGTTTTTTTACCAAGAAAAGTTCAGAAAAAATTTTTTGATTACTAGATCGCTTTTTATTTTTAGTAAAAAAAATTCTAATTCTTCGTTTCAAATATTTAACAGAATATTCTTTTCAAATACTTGACAAATTTTGAAAAATTTGTAAAAAAATAATTTTATTTGTTTATTTAAAAAGTTTTGAACATGAAAACTGTTTTTATTTTTATGTTTTTCAAATATTAAATTTAAATGTATGTAAATACAAAAATAATGAAGGACCAAGAACAGATTATTCTTATTAAAATTGATTTCATTCGCACAGGATTAATTGTATGCCCAATATTTAACCGAAAAGGATATTGATCTTGTTAAATTATGGAAACATCCTAGGCAATGAAAAATAGAAGATAGGAAAAAATTCCTGAACTATCTGAAAGATCGGAGATGCTTTTGTCTGATGAGTTTAATGAATTGAATTTCTGAAAATTTCTGAATTCTTGGTGATTGAAAGTGACATTACGTTTACAAGGAATAATTTTGAACTACATTGCCCATCCTATTAAATTAAAACTGGCTGTAACGGTGTTGTTTAGTTATAGTTATTTAATATGAAGAATTTTATGGTGCTAAACAATATTGATAGTTAATTCCTAAAAAAAAAAATTACAACACAAAATAAATTTTAATTTACATATATGTTTTCCTTATATTGTAATAAAACACATCTTACAAATTATATGCAATGGTTATGTAAACATATTTTACTATTATAAGATAAACTGCCATAGAAAGTAGAGACTATTTAACTATACTAATATACAACAGTTCTTAATTTCCAAAACAAGCAATACAAAACACCGAGACAATAATGCCTTCACGACCCTCATTCTGTTTCAAGAAAATGCCTGCACGACACATGTTTTTATATAAAATTTTCAATTTGTAACGTAAGGTAATTTTTTTTTGTATTAAGTAAGGAATTATTTTGAATTGCGCATTATTTATTTCAAACAAGCCGATTTGAATTTTTGACAAATTACAAGGAAGACAAAAGCAATAAAGGGTTTAATCTATGCATTCTCTGTTCAATCAAATCTACATATTTCTGTTCTTTTGATAAGCTATTTCAAAATTAATTATAACACAAAAATTAGAAAGAAGAGATGAGATGAACGTATGAAGAGTTTTATAAAAAAATATAAAACGTGCTTTCATTCAAAGTTACTAAGGTTGAGTTTTATTTCAAGAAGAGTATAAAATGATATATTAAAAAAATTACATTAAATATTAATGACATTCAATATTTTACATAGACACAAGTAGGTGTGTATACTAATTAAAGATCTTAATGACTTAACTTGCAACGCAAGTAGCGTCAATACATAATAACTAATAATAGTTTTGTTTTCGCTGTACGTTTGTATAATAAAGAGTGGTAATATATCCGATAGAATTTTTGTTTCCGCATCAGTGCGAAAAACAATATACATATTTTGCCAAAATATATGCAATAATAAATTTTATTTTAAAGTTTGTGTACATTTATTAACATTTCCAAAAATTTTCAAAACATTTTGCATAAATTTGGGCGACATTAATTTTATGAACAAGTTTAGCATTGATTCAAACCGGAAATGATATGAAGTGATGATGTTCTTTAGGAAAATTTTATAACAGCCAAAAAACAATTTAGCTTTCCCTTTCTGTAAAAAATATAAGCAATGTTTTTAATGAATAAGAGTTACTCTAAAAAAGCAGGAAGGAAATAATGTTGTTTTAGCAATAAATAACAATTTAGCAGGAAAAATAAACTGTATTGCTTCAAGCAGGTTACAGTTTCAAAAGATTTAGTTCTGAATTCTGTGAAATTAGTTGTTTTTTTTTTGAAAAAAGCGCTACATTTAAATTTTAAGGTATTGATCATTTACAAATAGGATATTTTTATGCTAAAATATTATTCTTTGTAAAGTTAAGACCAACTCAGTACACGGAAATCATCAACTACAATGACTGAGAAATAGGAAAAGATTTATATAAGTTTTTAAGATGCTTTGTGGGAGGTTTCTTGAGTAAATAATTTTTCCTATGAGAAACATTTTGGGAGCAATATAATATTGTTACAATGTTCTTGAAAATTTGGCTTATAGATCCGATATCTTGAATACCTTAGCATAAGAGCATTTCACTTAATTTTTACAAGACTTACGTCCAGGGCTGCCGCTTGATTTATTGGATGGGGAGCAGGAATATTCGAAAAAGGGAGCTATTTTCAAAAAGTGGAGCCAATTCCTATATTTCATAAAAACACAATTTACAATACTTTAATTTTCTTACTGTAAGTTTAAATAAGATCACAACTTGGTTCCAAGCTTTTCGCTCCAATATTTTTGAATAATTCTTTTGAATTTAAAATGCTGCTTACCATTTCAGTATAAAACGAGCTTCTCAATTTAGTTTTAATCAAATTAACAGAAGAAAATACCCTCTCAGCTGCGGCACAATGCGCTAAACTGAAGGAGCTTTGAAAAAATTTTTCATGTTTTCAACAACAAACTCGATCGACTTAAATCAAAATTTCAAAAATGCATCGTCTATTAAAAAAACTCTATAAAAACATATTTCATCTGCTGACGTCCACGAATTTTCCTAAGTTTGGTTATTTCACACTTTAACTCACTAATTCATTAACTTGACTATTTGTAGAGGTAAAAAGGTATTTGCATATAACTTCGTTAGCCAAACCTTTGTCAACAAATTTTTAAATATTGCAAAAAAGGTTTTTTTTATTTAAAAATTATATTTTTTAACTGAAAATTTTTTTCAAGAATAATTATCTATATTGTTTTTGGGTCTGACTGAGGAAAAAAGAAAATCGGAGCCAAAATGTAAAAGGAGGAGCAGAGAACACAAACTTTCAAATCGGAGCCAAACTATAGCCCTCCTTACGTCAAGTTCTATTTATATATCTACTTATATATATATTATTTACTTATCCATATGTAAGTTATCCATATATCCATATATTAGTTATTTTTCTTTCCTAAACAATTATTTATCAAATTTAATATTTAATCATTAAAATTTTAATTA